TACCCCTGCAACCACAAAGCAGTCAACACTACAAGGCACCCTTTCTGCTTCAGCCCCAGCTTTCACCCCTCAAAGACTTGTCACTACACCAGGCCAAACTCTTGATATGGCCTGTGCAAAACCTCTTCATTTCCAGGGATGTTCTAATTCAGACAATGATTTGGACAGCCCTCCTTGGGGCAAAAACCTAGGTTACATCTCCGGGCCTGAAATTAATCCTTTGGACAACCAGAAAAAACTTCCCTCAAATGTTTTTGAAGATGAATGGGTAACAGATAGAGGCTCAGATGATGAGGAAGACTGGCACGCCCATAAAGAGGTCAACAAGAAAAAAAACCTTAAGAAATTTGACCAATTATGTTTGCAATTCAAGGATAGTCCCCATCCAAGAAGAAGTAAGAGGTTAACAGAACTTAAAGCCAAGCGTGTTTGGGAACAAATTTGATTGGTGAGAATGCTGTCAAGATTTTCTCCTCATGATGTTCACCCTCTTCCTTAATCCAGTGCTGCAGGTCGTTATCAGGTTATAAATTATCATAATCTAATTCTGGTCTGAGAATGGCAGTGTGTTTACACTAACTTTGGATGACATTTTAAATGTATAAACCTTATGACTTTACCTTTGGCAAGCTTTCAATGTTTTTGCTTAGAATTGAAAGTGAACAATTTGGCTCTAGATGGTTTTGGCGCTGTTACTTGTGAAAATACAACTATGTGAAGGGAACCGTTTCTGGTGTTTGCTTCATCTATCAACATTACGGATGAGCATAATTTCTGTCATCTTTTCTGGAGCTGATTCATGCGTTTAGCTAGAATTGCTGGACAGAACTTAATGACTCCCATCCTGGTCATTTGGGCAGACTGCATTCTGCTCTCCTCATGTGATTTTTATTGTTTGGCTTGATGCTGCTTGTTTTATACTCTGTATTAGTTTGGATAGTTTCTCTCTTGAGTGTAGTATTCACTCTTTTTTGGGACAGCTTGTAGGGATCCGTCCCATCCCCCTTTGTACTTTTTCCTTTTCTAATAAATATCCTTCCCCTTATATATATATATATATATATATATATATATATATATATATATTTATAGGGTATATTAATTTAATTTGGGCCAAATTTGGGCCTAAGAATCCCTCTTTTTCCTTTTTACTCTTTATTCCTAAGTGTGGGTGTACAGTTAACTAATTTTGGCAGGAACACTGATCTTGCTTCTTTTTTTGCTTTGTACATAGTAAGATAAGATTTGAAGCAAAGAGTCCAGTTTTGCTACTGGCGCATAACGCAATGACTTTAATTGCAAATTTGCAATTCACGCAATTGTATACAGTATGAAAAAATGATTTCAAACTTCTAGTCGGATCCGACTGTGTCAAGAATTTATTGATTGAGATGAGGAGAAGGATGGTGCAACTCAGTAAATCACAGATATTTCGCATAAGAAACAATACAAAATTACTGCTCACCAAAAAAAACGTTACGCAATTGAGGGCAATTTACAGTCAATAATTAAAATGGAATGAAAAAGAAAACTTAACAATGCATATTATGAATGCCCCATGTGAGCAATATCTCATCATGGCAGCAAGTTCAACAACGTTTAGAGCATATAAAATTTGAGGGAAATGCCTATATATAATGGCCGCGTTTATACTAGAGACTTGAGCAAACACAATCATGCAGAAAGAAATTTATGAAAACTTAAATGGAAAATAAGATAGATGAGGAGGAAGCTCAGTTGAATCTCCTCCTCCTAAGCGGGCGTGAGTCTCCACTATCAACATCTGAAACTCTAGAGGTATGGTCGCTTCTTCGTCTGGAGGATGAGGTGGAAAGAGACACTGTAGAATCAATCTCAATAACATTTTCCACAGTTTGACTCTCCGAGTGAATAACAGCAGCAATGCTTGAACCAGAATCTCTGTCATCCACTGAGATGTGGGGAGGATTATGATGCTCTCTGCGTCCCCGTGAGGTAAAAAACCTGTTGAGAATATCCCCTGGAGATTCCTGGGACCCATCCCGGTTTTGAGTCTGAACCTGTGCGAGATCAAACCTACTTCCCAGCCGCCTAATCATCTCATCCATTGGGATGCTGAATGCTGCCCTCTGGATGGTTTGTCTCCAACTCTCGACTCGGCGTGCTTGAGGTCTATGGGGGACTTTGAGTGCAAAGGACGAGTCCTCTTCAGTCTCACGGGTCCCACTCCCACGCCCGTAAATTGGAGTCACGTTCTTCATCGTCACCTCCCCCTTGCAAACAGGACACTCTTTTGCATCAGAATGGACATGTATCCACTGATAAAGACAAGGCCAGCAAAACAAGTGGCCACAACAAGTGACGACAGGCTCCTTTGCCAAATCCAAGCATATGTTGCAATCGAAGAAGCAACCTTCGTTTACGTTTCCCTTTTCATTTTCTTCTTTCTTTCTGGAAGACGTTTCATTGTCCAAACACGGATATTTGTTCTCACATGTTTTGGTTACTTCAGCAGTGGTCGGCCTCTCTTCCTCTTCTGCTGCAGCAAAACTGGCCTCCCCGGCCTGCAATCTGCTCCCACCTAACCATTCCAATGCAATGCTTCTGGTTTCCGGTGGTACCGGAAGATCTCTCCGCATGGACCGCCACCGTTGCCTCCTCTGCCTCCTCTGCCTTACCGCTTCCCTAACAGGTCCGTCAAGGAATTCTTCCAAATTAATATTCTCAATTGGGAATGGTTCAGTGCCAAATTGTCTCCTCTCCCTGACCAGCTCTTCCCAATTAGAATCTCTACTGGAGAATAGTCCAGGTTCACGCTCCACATCAGTGTTTGGATGATCAACGGGACCCAGGTTAAGATCAAGATTCATTGCATTATCCTCCATAGCTTTCCTTGAACTAAACACGCCCAAATTTACATAAAACTTGGGTCTCTACCTTACACTTAACCAGACCAAAGCAAAGGATTCTCCACATGAATTTTAATTCTTAAATTTGATATAGTGGGAAAAAAAAACAAGAAACTCCGATCTTTTGAACTTCAGATAAACAGGTATGAAGTTAGGGTGAACATAACCAAGAAACCCTAATTTACAAAGAAACTCATAATTATTTTCTGGAATTAAACAATTATAGCCAGAAATTATGCTGAAATGAATTCAATCGAATGAAATGAATCCGAAACCATTTATAGGTCTCAACAAAAAACAAAACCCAAAATTATTCATAGAAAAAGGGGAACAAGAGTAGATGAAAATAGCCCCTGAAATTGTGACCCGAAATGAGATTCAATTCCAGGAATCGAGCTCAAAAGGGAAAAAAAAGGATGGATAGTCAAGTTCTAGAATCCGAAAAGACAAACAAGATACATGGTTCAATCAATTTACCGATAAAGACAAACACTCCATGGTTTCGTCTTCAGCTAGATGGAGGGACATTTGCGAAAAAGATTGGACTAGGGGAGTAGAGGACGGGGCGAGCAGCAGGAGATGCTTGTTACTTCTCTGAAATCGATAGAGCACCGAATGGAATTTCCATGGGCGGTTTTCTCTTCTCTTGTAGATAGGGATCTGGTCCGAGAAAGTCAGAGGAGGAAATAGCTGTTTCTTGCCACTTGTTATGGTCTTTAACATTTCCCATTACTAGTATTTTAACCTATTTTAACCTCAGGAAATGGTACAAAATTGTTTGTGATTCTATAATATGGAGTATTAAAATGACTTTTTTATGAGACATATCATTTAGATATCAAAAATAAATGATTTAAGTTTATTGAATTTAAATGAATCTATAATTTTTATTCCCCTATAAATTAAAAAATACAAAAAATAATAGTGATTCTATGAATTTTTTCCGCAACATAAATTTTAAAAAACTTGAATTACCAATATTATGATTCTACATTTAAAAAACATGATTTTTCTCACCCACATTAATTGAGATTAGCGAAAAAAATGATTCCCCCCACCCCCATTGAATACAAAAATTGATTCATCTCTACTGTATTATTTAAAAATAAAATATTGGATTAGCGATCCTATGACTCTACTATTGAAAATATTCATTTGAAAACAATTAAAATACAACCATTCTTCTCCCCCGCATCAATTTTGAAAAAAAAATAATTAATAAAAAAGTGCTACAATGATTCTGAAGGGAAAAAGAGAAAGATTAAAATAGAAATAAAATATAAGACAATAACCAAAATAGAATATTTTTATGTTTTATATGCAAAATAAGAACTATAATATCAATACGACCAACATATAATACATGCAAAAATTACAATGAAATGTCAATATACAGTGTCACATTATATTGCAATCATAGTTTTCAGAACCGGACCGGTGATCGAACCGATCGAGGTACTGGTTCACTGGTTGAACCAGTGGTTCAAACATTTTTGAAAATTTAATATATATATATATATATATATGTATGTATGTATGTATGTATGTATATGTATATATATATATAAAACAAAAACTACTTCTTCAATATAAAAATAATGAAGTTATTTATGATATATGGCTAAAGTTATAATCAATTTAATTAATTTGAATAGTAGCATTAAATTGATAAAATTATATATTATGAAATATTTAAAAATTATATTGAAAATTTTATACTCGTAAAAGAGAAGGATATTTTAATTTTTTAATAATTTGTTCAATGTTTTCAAACCTTATTTAACTTAAATATATCATTGATATGTACTACTCCCTTTGTCTTTGAGTATTTTTTCACTTTTGATTTTTTTTTTGTCAAAATTGGTAAACTTTAACCTCAAATTAAATAAAAATGATATTAGATATTGATATAAAAAGAGTTATATTAGATTTATTATATCAAATATTTTCAAAATATTATTTTATTTAAATAAAATACAATGTATATTTTATTTAAAAGGTCAAAGGTTGAAAACAGTTGACCGAAAAAGTCAAAACTGGACAAATACTAGGAAACGGAGGTAGTATGTATTTGTAGAATACGTAGTACTTAAAAGTTTAAATCTGAGTTATAATATTATATTTTTTAATGTTTTATGAAAAGTAATCATTTTAGGAATTTTTATCAGAATATATTTTATATATCTCTACTTTATGCAACAAATGAAACAAGAGGACTCTAGCTAAGGTGGTGGTTAGGCGGATATAGATATTGGGAGATTGGGGTCCGAATCCTTGCATGGTGTCATTTTGGAGGATTTTTGAAAATTAAAAAAAAAGAATCCGGTTCCCGGTTTTCCGGGCGGTTCGTACCGGTTTTTAGATTTTCGAAAATTAAAAAAAAGAATCCGGTTCCCGGTTTTCCGGACGGTTCGTACTGGTTTTTACCGGTTCACACCGGGTCGTTGCAGATCTGGTCTTTTGGCCCGGACCGGACCGGTTTGGTCACCGGTTCGCCGGTTCCCGGTTCGAACCGGCCGGTCCGGTCTGGTTTTTAAAACTATGATTGCAATAGTACTATTTTATAGATAAAAACATGTGACTCTTATTTTGTAATATTTTTTGCTTCTATTTTTGGTTGATTTCTGAAGGGAAATTTAAAAAAATTATAATTTTTATTATTTTTTGCTTGAAAATGCAAAATCATTCAAACACATAGTAGCATTCTCATCCATACAAAATGTTCTAACAAAATATAAATAGTTGCAAATTGAAAATTATATTTCTCTTTGATGTACTTTGTATCCAAGTTTTGATCTTATTCATTTTTGCACCTTGGATCTTCTCCGCACTTTTTCTTGCTTTATTTATTGTCTTAATACTCATCTTCATTGTCACAGACCTTCTACAACTCATGTTCGCATCTTGATCTTTCATATCACAATTTGTTTTCCATACATCTGTGTCATCTGTCTCTGTCTCATAAAACACTATCGTATGTCATTTCTATGTATAATTATGCAAATGAAAGTGTAGGAATGAAGCGAGTCCTCTCTCATTCAAATTTTCTTATCTTCATGCATAAATATTGCGAATACTTACACAATATAAATTTATAAATATTAAGTTACACCTTAGGAAAATGGTAAGTTAAAATACAAACTTATTTTGATTAAACTAGTAAGTTGAATTACCAACATAAAATACAAAATTCATATTAAATATTTATTTGATTTAAATACTTGATTATTTTAAATAGTAGTCAAAGCATTTCTTGTTTTACATTCTCCAAAGGTGAAATCGCTCACCCCGGGCGCCCCTCACCCCCGACCCGACGGGGTTGTGAGCGGAGGTAAATCACGGTGACCCAAACACAAAACTTAGCTAAATCATATCCTAGTGCGCACCAGAGACTCCTCCCATTTCTTGTTTTACATAAATAGAATAAAAACTATCTTCATTTCGGCATATCATAAAAAATATGTTACTCAATGTATTATTATAAATGAAGTAAAAAAATATAATATTAAGAAAGAATACTCTAATAAAAATGAAGATCTCTATTCCATATTTAAAATTTGTCAATCATGGTGAAACAATAAGGAATGCAAACAATATTTTGTTTACAAATTGGTATATAAAATTAAGAAATTAAATATTTAAAAATTAGAGGTGAGAGGTTAAAAATGTTTTATTTTATCAAATGATCAATGAAAACTTGCAAACTAACAAAAGTTATCGAGACGCTGCAATAATAAAGAGGTAAATTATTTTTAGATAGAGCGAGTTAAACTTTATTATAGTTTTTAAAATATTTTAATTTTTAAATTTTACATCAATATTTAAATAGTAAAATCAAAACTAAATTCATTTAAACATATCATAAAGAAATATGAAATCTATTAAGAGGTGAAGACAGTATCTAATTTATTATTTTGAAATTATAAATGAAGAGAAAAAAATATAAATTAGGAAAGAATATAATCATATAAATGAAGATATTTTATCCACTATAAATTTCCTCATTGATTTCAAACCAAACTATTACTTTATTATTTTCCACGTCACAAATTTTGTGGCATATTAAGTTTCAAAAAATGCCACATAAACAATATACAACATGTCGATTTTCAAGAGATTTAAATCTTATTTTTATATATAATATATAAGTCATACAATCTGAATTTAGCTATAAATTTTAATGTGAAAAAATAGTAATTATAATTCATGTTGTACATTTTTAAAATACAATCATTTGAGAATTCCAGTAAAGTTTAGTTGTAAAATAAATGTGATTTTTTTTAATTTTTAAGAAAATAATTTTTTTGTGAACTATATCAAATGTGAATATAGATTTTTTATTTTTTGAAAATAAATTTATTTTATTATTTTACTAATTGAATCTATTTTATCCACATGTTTTAAAATCTTTTGTTTGAAGTCATGATATTTTTTTGTTTTATAATTTTAATTATTTCAGTTTATTTATAATCGATTATTGATGTTAGAATAATCCATGAACTTGAAGAATCTAAAAAAATATTGATATATAAAAATAAAATGTATCCAAATCTATACAACTCCATTTAGAATTAAAATCAGTGATAAGAAAAGACCATTTTGGAAAATATTAAATTAGAAAATACTACGTACGTAATTATTGCTTGTTGAGAACTAATTTGGAAAAATACCTTAGTAGAAAGAACTATTTTTCAAATTTACTCAATTCCTTTTCATAACGTATTTTTAGTTATACTAGATTAGTCATTTTTAAGCTAAATTCAATTCAGTTATGTACACATTTTTTAATTTGTTGAATTACAACCATAATTTTCTAAATAAATTCTCATAAAAAGAATATATTAATAATTTTAAAAGCGTTTCATATTTTACTTAAAAACTTTTACATCAGTGTTAGTGTCTTTTATAATGATAATTCACTTAATTTTTATAGAAAAATTGTATTTTTATTTTCATTCATTTACTTGATTTTCTTTGAGTTCAAAAGTCCATAACATTTTCGTAATGTAAAATATACTGATTTAAACTAATCAAATATTTAAATATCAACTTCTAAAGATTATAATAAACTATTTGCTAAAAATGATCAATAAATATTTAAAACATGTCATAGACTTCGTATTTGTTTCTTTTGTCATGTTATTTAATCTTTGAAAAATAAATAAAAATTAGAATGGATATGGGTCACACAAATTAATTTGAATATGATATGTGACAATAATAGTGAGCATATTAAAGAAGTAAAAAGAGATTACAATCGTCAAATAAATGAAATATAAGTTAAACAAATTTAAAGAAATTAATCTTTTTGTAATATCAAATATATTAGTGCAAACTTATCAAATATATAAATATCAAGTTTTAAAAGGTACCATGAATTATTTGTTTAAAATGGTCAATGATTATTCACAAGTTACTATATATGAAAATTTTTTTATGAATGATTTTAGATTTAATAAATGCATATAGTCATCAATGACGTGTAAAAAAACTCTACGTAATCATTCTACATGTCAAGCTCTGGTGATCCGAGTCTGAAATATTATGATAAAGGATTGTTGGCCTTGAATGTCGTACCCCGTAAATGTTTTGATGTGGCAAATAAGTCTTCCAATGCTACTAACATTATTTGCAAGATTAAACGAAACGCCAAACCTCTATTAGCTTATGTAACATCACCGAGACATGCTCCTAC